TTTTATTATGTCAATATTTTAATAATCTACTTTCAAACATTTTTTGAATTTTTGTTTTCAAACATACTGGAGTTTCTAATCCGCGTGTATACTATGCGGGTACATGAAAGCGTTTGACGCGTGACCAGGTAATTGTTTTCAAAACATGCAAACTCAGATTATCAGTAAACACAGGTAGCTGACCTGTCAATCAAATCAGAAGCTATTGTTTTTTTAATGATTGACAGGCGGTAAATTATTGATCTTGAATCAGTTAGATTTTGGGGGCGTTAACATAAAATTGGGTGTTTAAACAGCTGTTAAATGCAACAGTTATCTATTTATTTATTTTTTGGCATAGCCCTCAAATCATTCCCCGAGAAGATGGATCTTAAGTATACGTAGGACCTATGTCCAAAAATATTTTGTGTTTACAAGTCTCCCCACATTTGTCAAAATTATTCACACAGTATGAGTTACAATAAAAATCACTTTTTAAATAGTGTTTACATCTGATGGAAAAATTAAATTTTCAGCAGAACAACTATCAGAAAGAGCTAGAAAGGCTTACACAATCACTTTTTGAATTACTTACGCAAGACTTTGTAAAGCCTTCAAATAGGTGTCGCTCGATCAATTCACCATGCCGCGTTACGTACTTGTAGAACCTGAATTAAAAACAAGATCCGAATTTACTCTGAAAATTTTCGTTGCAACTTGAATATCAATGAATACGTGCATTACAAACACAAAATATGGCAAACGATTTAAAAAACATTCATTTTTACCTTTGTCTCAAGGATTAGAGCGCAGTCAGCCAAAAGGAAAGTCTGGAACAAGCCACATGAGGTTCTTTCGCTGACTTGTTTTTTTTTTTCCTGTAGCAGGAAGTGCAAGTAGAACCTGGCTTATTCGGCTTGTCGGTTTCGTATTCGTCACAGAATCGGGAAATACCTTATAACTTTAATTTTCGTCATTCAATCTTTTTTATCTTGAAAATCTATTTCCGCGTTAAAGTCGAACTTTGATGACAAGGGTTATAAAATGTAAGTTACGGAACCAAAGGTAGTTTTACTATGGAATGCCTACGTCACATATTACGTCATCATGCGGCCGAGAAAGCAGAACGACTGCATATTTTCTGTAAATTTATATTTTCATCTTCTACTTTTTATACCAGATAGATGTAATAACTTTCTTGGAAATATTTGTTGACAACTTAAATAATAGATCCAGGTAGATACCCAAGTAACAAGAATACATCGGGCCAACGTTGGTTGATGGTTGGTAGGTTGGTATAGTGTTGGTGTTGGGCTGTTAATGTTGGTCCAACGTTGGCCCAACAGATAATATGTTGGCATGAAAGCCGCTCCGTCGGTGCTGGTTATGTGATGCTGGGCCAATGTTGGCCCATTGTAGTAAATGTTGGCATGAAATGTGGCCTCTATATATTGGAAATTCGATGTTGGCCCAACGTAGGCCCGACTGAGTAGACGTTGGCATAAATTAAGACCATTGCGTGTTGTGATGTATAATGTTGGCCCATCTTAGGGCCAACCAAGTAATGTTGACATGAAACATGGCCAATGTGTGTTGGGCATGTAATTATCGGTCCAATGTTGGCCCAATGCAGTTAATGTTGGCATAAAATGTGGCCACTATATGTTGGGAATATAATGTTGGCCCAGCGTAGGTCCGACCGAGTAGATATTGGCATAAATTAAAAGACTGGAGATTCATAATGTTGGCCAAACATAGCGCCAACCAAGAAATGGTGACATGAAACATTCCAATGTGTGTTGGGCATGTGATCATCTGTCCAATGTTGGCAAAATGAAGTAAATTTTGATTATAATCAGGCATTGATTGGGTTTTGAACGTTGGCCCAGCGTTGGTCCAACAATGTGAAAATTGGGGGGAAAAAAAACAAATTTCATTAACAAACAGTTAGATGTAGGTGATATGTTCATGACGCTCATTTTTTTTAAATTTGTATATTTCAGAACCACCTACTTTAAGCTTCTTTAAATAGAGACAGCTCAATTTAATTAAAAAGTTATGTAAGGATGAATTAATCTTAACAACTCATGCATTGATTATCAATCTAAAAACGAAATATTATTCCAGAACCTAATTTATGAAAATCATATGATGTACTTTTGATGATACTTATATGTAATTATTATCCAAGACCATTGCAAATATATATATTGTATACAGAAGTTTTATTCTGCACATGTTTAATATTTTGGAGATTCTATATTTAGCACCATGAAACTTACAGTGCTGAATTTTAGAGCTTCGGATAATTAGGTCAGTGTTGAAATCCACATACACAGGGGTGACTGGCCGGTTTCCTAGGAAACGGGCATCCTAATTAGTTCTGTTTGGTAAATTCGGAGTGGTCACAATTTATCACTTGCAACATTTGAACAAAGCATATATACGTGTACTTGTCTGCTTTGAAACGCAAGAAAGAGAAAACGGATTGTTTAGCTTTTGAAATGTAAGTATAGATGTTTTATGTTTTATTGATGGAAGTTTATGTTTTTGAAAGTATTAACTTTGGCATAGTTTGTAAAATTGAACAAGTTTTACATAAAAGTTACACTTTGCAAAGTTTTCATATCGTTTATTAGTAATCTACTTAATTATTACTTATCTGAGTACTAAGAGAAATCATTTTTGAATTGATTAAACTAATATATATTTTTATATCGTTTATAGCAACTGGTGGAGAGAAAACCCATTCTGTTACAAGACCATTGATGTATGGAATTTACTGGACATGCAGTGAGTGATTTAACTGTGTGGGGGGACATGGATTTTATAGACAAAAAAACAATAACATGAACAAGGAAAAACAGAAGTGAATGATTCCAAAGTTTCACATATTTGAACACCGGATCCCATATAAGAATGGTTGTAAATGTAGTGATATTGGATAGACTTTGAACCACCTCGGTACATGTATTGGTTTCATTATACAGGAGTGACAAAAACAACATTTGTTTGAAGAACTAGTTAATTATCCATGCAGGATTTAATATATTAATTGTGATTTACTCGTTATTATGGAAATAAAAAATGTCGCAGAACTGGAATTCATATTGTGTAACTAATTAAGAAATAAGTGAATCGTAAATAATTTGCGAAATACGGTCAACGTTTGTCCAACATAAATAACATTGAACCAACATTGGGCCAACAAGAAGTTATACATTGGGCCACTGTTGGACCAATGTCAGATTACCAACCTTCAAATGTTGGCCCAACGTCGAGCCAACTTGTTGGTTGAACGGTGGGCCGATGAGCAAGATGATGTTGGGCCAACAAATAAAACTGACAGAAGGCCAACGTAATTTTCACCGTTGGGCTGGCATTGGCCCAACGTAAGCTTGCTATCTGGGTACTCATGCTGGTGTGTTGAAAGATGGACCTGGCACAGGCTCTCTGCATTCTTATATTATCAAGATACTATTGTAAAGGCTTAGTGAACTGAATAGGCCTAATGTTTTTTTTTTAAATGCTGTTGCACCCGAGTGTCTGAAATATAAATGCAGCAAGCCATATTACACAACACTGCAGAATTATACATACATGTATAAAATTTCAAAATAGATGGTTTTTCCATATTTAAAAGCAAGAGTTATTCCCCATGGCCGCCATGTTGTAGGGCAACCTTCCCAGTTCCCTTCATTATTCAAGGGTGAACCAATTAAGTTCAATTTGTTATACTGGTTACTGCATGAGGTAAAGTTAACACGATTTTTCTTTTGAAAATACGTTTGTTAAAGCCTCTGTAAGTCTGTTAATTCATAATCTTCAGATTGTAAATATTTTCCTCCATATATTTCTGGCATGTATGTTTAAAATTGGTTGCTCAAAGAGGAAAATTCACTGCTTTGCCCTACAAGATGGCAGCTAAGGGGAATAACTCCTAGGCAAAATATGTCAAAGAAGTAGGTAAAATGATATGCCTGGTAAAGTTCTCATGAAAAGAGCTGCCCCCCCCTTTTTTTTTTTTATAAATATCAGCTGTTATAGCCATTAGGTTTTAACTTGTGTACATGTACATTCAAAAATATATGCTGATATAAAGAAGCTAAGTTATCATGGTAGTACATTATATAATAGGCCTATCAAGAAGGCAAGACAGGAGTCTCAGGGGCGGATCCAGGAATTGAAGTTAAGGGGGGTTGCAAGAGTTTAGGCAGGGGGTCTGGTTGCCACCTTGAGGCCCCCAGAGGGTCCAGGGCAAAGCCCTGGTGGGGGTCCTTGGGGCGAAGCCCCTGGAAGTTCATGGTTTCTAGAGCTAGGTTTTGTAGGGTAAAATTGAGGTCTACCGAGTACCAAGTAGACATTTTAAACGTTTTCTGGACAAAACTATGTTTTATGCTAACTTTGACAATTTTAGGGGGCACGCACCGGGTATATATGCCCCAACTTAAATCCGCCACTGAGTCAAAGCCTAGTTACTTTCCAATGATGAGTTGTCACGTATAATATACTCACTACTGTAGGTCTATATTCTTTATTGTGGTTACCAAAAATAATAATGGCCAAGCTAAAAGCAGTTGCCAACCTATAATTTTTAGACTGTGTACGTAGGAAGGTAGTGATATTAAAGGCATTTTAAAAAATAAAATGTTTTCAGATTTTTGATTTCAGATTTCAGATAACAAATAATAGAGCTTTTCATAGATGTCCCCCACTAAATATGAATAAGCTCCACTCTTCATCTCTTGTCAAAATCACAGCTGTTTGGTAAACAACAATTGAACAAAGTCAAAAATAAAATATAGTTTTAATGTCCTAAAATATTGAGAAAAAATTATTACAAATGGCTAGAAGAAATTAATTGTGTCAGGTGCGTTTTCTATGGGACAGTAGGCAACTGCCAACAAACAAATATTTATTTATAAAGCCTATGTTTTAAAATATTTAGTAAATATTGTACATGTGTATTCTATACTTACAGGTATTTCCTTGTAATAAGCAGATGGTACTCCATTATACTGCACTGATAGCTTCTCAAAGATTAAAAAATTAATATGATACATGCAAACAGGTAAGAAAATTCTAGAATAGAGGGAAATATTTGTTGCAGATGTACCGGGTCAACAGGTGCGTGAAAGTCAGTCAAAATATTGGGTCTCAATCAGCTCAGTGGGTTAGTATGCTGGCAATGTACGCCAGAGGCCCTGGGTTTGAGTCTTGGTTGAGACTTCACTTTTCACCACCTGTTACAGTTTTATATATTGATATATGAAAATAATACATGTATAATACGTACATTATCACATTGTACTATAGCTTTTGTGTTAATTATTGAATGCATAGCAAAACCATTAGCATTCAGACTAAATTAAGTTTAATTATAGTTAACTTTGTTAATTCATAGAATACTTGTGACTTGTGTAATAAAATATGTTACAGAGATAATGAACAAAATGTTATTGAACTGACATTTTTGAGTTTTTCTGTAGGCACAGTTAAAATGTCAATCATCACAAGATCAAACTTCAGTACCAGAGTAACCCTAAATCAATTATCATCCTGATTTGTCAAAAGACTACATGTAAGTAATTTGTATGAATATTTTAATTGATTTGGACTCTTTAATCTTAACAATTATGTCAAAGCTGCACATATTTAATTTTTGCCATCTAAACCAGAGTTCAATATTACAGAGAACAGTCTGGAGGTGGAAAATGATAGATCATTTGGAGAGGACCCTGTTAAAGCAGTCATAAATATGTTTCACAAAACAATGAACACCTTGTTACAGCATATCTTGAACAGCCTAGAACAGGTATTTGTTACTTTCACTCAAAATTGTTTGAAAACTCTAACAATACACAACTTGTAAGCTAAACTCCTAAGTTCAACATGTTCAATATTACAGAGAACAGTCTGGAGGTGGAAACTGATGGATCACTTGAAGAGGAAACTGTTAAAGCACAGAGACATGTACCAAGGAACAACAAGACATGATTGTTGCAGCATATTTTGAACAACCTGGCATAAGGTATTTGTCACTATACTCAGGTCTAAAGAGTACAAATGTATTCACATATTTTTAGGTCACCTGAGTAAACTCAAGTTCAGGGTTTTGGTGCTAGGGCGGGGCTCTAATGAATGATTATAAAGTAAAAAATGCATGAATTCCTCGAAAACCTTTTCCTTTGCTCCTGGTTATTATGTCAGTGTTCTAATTAAGTACATATTAATAATGATTAAAGGTGCCTTTTCCAAAATGGTTAGTTTCAGATCCCCTGGGTCAGGGTACTTGGGATTGGGGTGGAATCACGTAGTCTATAAATAAATTGATGCTTTGAAATTTTCTTTTTGGTAATAATCAACCGTTTATGTTGAAGTAAATTTTATGATAAAATTTCCAGAATTTTGAAATATGTGCCCCCAGGGTCAGTGGTTCCTGTCGGGTAGTCTGTGCACAACTGGTTAAAAAGTGGAAATACATTTTCTCTTTGTTACTTAATGATCTAACTCTGGGTATTAAGTAACTAAAGTAAGCAAGCTAAGTGTATTAGTTATGATAAGCAATAGTGCCTTTTTTCAAAATTTTGAATTTAATGGCCTTTGATTTAAAACATGAACCAATTGTTGGATAGTTGTTACATGATACTCAGGTGACCTATAAGGCCCATGGGCCTCTTGTTTTTTTAAAATCACAATTCTATAATGGAAACATTTAGATAGACAAAAATTGTTTGTGACTGAAAGGTCTAAAGGACTATATCCCAACTCTAACATAGGCTAATTTGAACTATAGATATCATGATAAGCTTTTGAAATATAAAATAATAACTTTTATGAAGATATATTCTAAATAAAAAGGCTGCTTTACTATCACCAGAGGCAGTGAAATAACTCTGCATGCAGTTCATGTAGGCAGTGTCAAAGTCACAGGGATTGAATTTTAAATTCTTGGCCATAACATAATAACTAATAATTGTAAAAGTAAGATCTAGATCTCAATATACTGTCCTAATGGTTGATTATAATTATCATTAGATACATTGTATTAAATTTCCAAAACAGAGGTCATAAGGCAAGGTCAAGTTTGCAGAATTTATAGAAATTTCACTAAAAAGTACAACTTTTTATATGATAGTATGAAGAGAACATTATCTTACTTGGCATATAGCTGATCATGGCCAAGAAATATCAATCCTACTTAAGGGCATTTAGAGCATATATTTAAATCAGAAAATTTATTGTGCATTTTCCGTTTTAATATGACCTTATAGAATGTTTACCATTTGTATTTTCAGTGTTTACTAACAACACCACCTCAACAGAACTTCAAGATAAAGAAATTTTATGTGATGAGAACCTCAATAAAGAAGATAGAAAAAGATCAATCGTTTTAGTTTTTAATGTAGAAGCTGATGTCACAAATGTCTTTTCTTAGTCAGGGAGTCCAGAAACAAGTTTTGATTCTTTAAAATTGAAAGTGACTTTTTGTATAATCATTCATTTCTTGTATCTGGATTAATTGACTAAGTAAGAAAAAAAAAAGATATTATTAAATCCATGGAATTATCCAAGAAAAAAAATCATTTGAAGGAGTTGCTAAGAAGCAAAAATTGTGTTTCCAAGGATTCGAAGGATAGAATTAATGGATTGAATTTTGGGGAACTCAAAAATAAAAGTTTGATATCAATTTCTAGGGTACAAAAAATATGCTTGTCATCGCACGATATTCATATGAAACCTGGGTTCTTTTTTCACATGAATTTCATGCGATTTTCTTTTCGCATGATATTCGTGCGAATTTCATGTAAAAATCACACGATATTTTTATGCGAATATCATGTGACTTGTTTTTCGTCTCCTTTTCATGCGAAGAATTCGCATGATATTCGTGCGAATTTCATATGAAAATCATGCAAGCCACTTTTCCCTGTGTAAACCAAGGAACAACAGCAGCTAAGACGTAACACACAGTCGCCGCTATCAGGTTTGTGTAAGTGACCAACAGACGACCGTATTTATCTGCCAGGGCGGGAATCAATGCGGCTCCTATCATCTGACCTATCACAGTCACTGTAGTGGACATACTTCCTAGGCCTTCAGAATCACACACAAGATTCCACTGAAATAAGTTGTCAGGGAAAAAAAAATCAGTTTAAATCATCATTTGCTTGCTATCACTATTTTTACCAGGAAAGTTTTTTTTTTTTTTTACCTCTGATGCCGTAGTTTCCTGTCCGAAAAATTCGTATCCGTCTTGACATGGAATAGTCTTTTGTGTAATAATATTGGATATGTTTGTTTCGAGAATGACGTCACATTGTTTTGAATGCATTGTGAAGTTATATGACCGATGGGTCTTATTGAAATATCTCGACACGTTTTCGTCTGAAATCTTGCAGAAGAACTCAGGAATGTGACCTGAAGAAAAACAATTAGCATTGCATTGTATTGACAATATTGCACTGTATTGACAATATTGCACTGTTTCCCGAAAATTGCTTTATTTTATTTCGCATTAATATTCTTAAGATCCTGCGTGAACTCTATATTGCTTTTTTATGTTGATGCTTAAAGAGATCTTCATTCATTTTGTTTTTTGTTAAATTCTCAGTC